TGTTTAGCCATTAATCCGATGATGGACATTCGGGTTGTTTCCGCCTTTGTCGATTGTGAATTGTGCTGCTGTGAACACAGGGGTAGGTATATTTGATTATCATTTTGTTTCAGGACTAGTGTTTCAAATGATGTAAACGTGTTGCCCATGTTTAGAACTTGGAGAGATGTCACATAAAAACTGCAATCCCCACCCTCTATGCACCGTTAGCTACCCTGGGCCCACCAGATGGCAACTGCCAAGCAGCCCCCTGTGAACGGGGTGGGGAGGTCTGTGCAGGTCCCCTCTCCCCCAGCCCACCTTTCCCCTTACTTCAGCTAACTGGCCCTGTGGGCATTTGAGCTTGAGACCCCTCACCCAGGGGTCTCTCACACCTCTCCACCAACCACAGAAGGGTTGAGTGAAGTCCTGACAATGCTAGTGAGGTGAAATAAGGTCATCCCTGAGCTCACACTCCTAAGTGCTCCATTCATACTCAAGGGCCTTGGCCATTCATCCCCCAAATGTTTACTGAGTATCTACTCCATGCCAGACACAGTGCTAGAAAATCAGTGAACAAAGCAGAGACCCCCCTACCCTGATGGAGGAAGGCAGACCCAGGAAATAAGCGGGGCCTGTCTCAGATGTTCACGGGTGCCTTATGCTGGCTGCTGAGGGAGAACTGTCAGGATGGGCAAGGGCAGGATCTGACTCAGGCGCTCACGGGCGCCCTCTGGTGGACACCAAGAGGACAGACTGTGAGGGTGAGGGTAGGAGCCACGGACCATGGCTGGGGGAGCTAAGCTGCTCCAGGAGGACCATGATGGAGGCTGGAGCCGGATGGAGGCAGAGGCAGAGGGCAAAGTGGGCAAATTCTGGGTATGTTTTGAAGGTACAGCTTCAGGGAGGTTCCCGGACGGACTGGATGTGGTTGGTGAGACAGTCAAGGTCAAGGGTAATCCCAAGGATTCTGGCCTGCACCCTTGGAAAGACAGGGCTGCCAACTGAAGGGGTGATGCAGAAGGGCAGCCTGGGGGTGGGCTGGGAACATCGGGTCTGGGGTGGAAGGCAAGGTCTGGCTAGTGATGGGTCAGGGGGTGTCGTTCTCACACAGGGGAACCTGAGCGGGGCGGGGGGAGGGGGGCAGTGGTTGCAGGCCAATGGGGGGTCCAGAAGGCAGGAGGGGACGTCTAGCTGTTCCCAGGGCACGTGGGAGTGTGTACAGGAGAGACTGAGGGAGGGGTTGGGCCCAAGGACCCTGCTTTCTAGGAACTGCCTCAAAGCAACAGGGAAGCCTGCCAGAGGGGTCAGGGGTCCGGGGAGTGAATGTCTGAGGTCTTTCAATGCAGAATCCGCTAGAAAGAGAACATGGGTAGAACAAGATCGAGGGGGTGCCAGAGGGAGGCTGTCCTTGAATAAAGGTGAGAGCCCATGCTCAGAGAATAGGGGTGACTCTGACGGCCACAGGGCAAGACCCTGAGGAATGCTGGGTGGGAGCCCACGGTGCCAGGGAAGCCCTCCCCACCCACCCCCCACCGAGGGTCTGCACTCCCTCAACCACAGCCCCACTTCAGGGCTTTGGAGACTGCCTGAGTCTGGGACGCCTTTTACCTAGGAGGGTAAAGTTCACACCAGCTTCTCAATGCTCCCGGGGACGCTCATCTCCCTCCCTACGCCCCCCACTCCCCGCCTTCCTCCCAGTGGGGAGCATACAGCACAGGAGCCTGTTGGCACACGGAAGCCCTGAGAGCGGGGCTCCCCCAGCCCGCCCCTGCGCTGTCACTGCGCCTTGGTAGCCGGGTAACAGGGCGGGAAGGTGGGCGATGGTGGCAGCTGCATGAGGTGTGGGTGACACTAGGCAGCAAGCATGTCCTGCTGCGGGCAGCCTCCTCCCTTCCCGGGAGTCTAAGGCTGCGGGGTATTGTGTCCCAGCCACTGTGGACTTGCCCAGACCCCCCCCCTCCCCACCAAATCTCTGAATTCACTAGCCCTTCGTCTGTTTCCTCAAAAGGTTGGTGACCTTGAGGCCACATTGGTGAGTGGGGCAGAGCCCACCTGCTGGGGGCCAGCAGTGGGAAAAACCACACTGGCTCTGAGCTGGGTTTAAAAAAGGGCTTATTTAATTAAATACAAGGATAAGGGCAGGCAGGGCAAGGGAGAGGGGTGCCACCAGAGAAAGCACACGTCCCTAGGGATGCGACCCCCTACCCCCCCGTCCCCCCGTGAAAGGCCACGGCTACCACTGGCCCATTGGAGGAGGCGGGCATGGGTCTCTTCAGGCCCCTGAACAGGGGCCAGACATTAGCGTTCTCAGCTTCCTGGGCCCCGAAGCCCACTGTGGACAGGCACGGCCAGGCCGGGGACATCCACACAGACACAAAGGTGAATGGGACACACACCCCTCTGCCCTCAAGGACAAGGGCATTCCCCTCTGGGAGAGAAGGACTGAGGGCAGATGGGCCAACTCTGCAAGGATCTCCCCCTGGGCTGAACCTGCAGGCAGACCCTCCCCAGCCCGGCTCCAACAGGACCTGAGCACCCAGCCCTGGGTCCTGCCAGGCTGAGGGTCCAGGTCCACAACAGTGCCATCCAACCCCCCAGCCCCCAGTCAGGCCACGAGGAAGGCTCTGGAACACATGCAGATGCCACAAACCTCCTGCAGCCAATGGGAGGTAGGAGGCGGGGCAGACAAGCCCTTTTAGGGTCTGGGGGCAGGGAGCCTGGGTCCCTTCCCACGCCAGAGCAGGGGGGCTGGATCCTCAGTCCCTTGGTCCAAAATGAAATCTAACCGGCTCTGCCAGAGGACATGGCATCCACCCCTCTCCACCCTAAGTTTAGGTCACGACGACACTCCCCTCACCTCCTTCTCCTGAGGACGATAGACCACCCACAGTGGCCCTGATGAAAAAAGAGATTGGTGCCTGAAAAAATATTCTACCCGGTCCAAAAACACACACACACAAACCCAGCTCTTCCTAGGGGGTTCTGGGCCAGTCCTCCTGCCTCCTATCCTTGTGGGCGGCAACTCAATCCCTGGTCCAGGCCTGGCCGCCCGGGGGGACATGCAGCAAGGGGCAGGATGGAGCCAGGGCTCGCACCTCCACCTGCAGGGTGGGGAGGGGTGCATTTAGCCCAGTGGCTGTCTGGTCCCTAAAGGGAGGGAATGATTGTCACGTGATGCTGTGGAAGGCCAACGTTGGGAGCAGGGAGTAGCTGCGGCACCAGCTTCTCACTTACACTAACACACCACACCCACCCAGGGGGGCAGGCAGCACCCCAGCCAGCAGAGACAAGAAAATAAATAAGCCAGCATTCACTCCATCCCCATATCCACATCCCCCCCAAAGTGAGGCAAATGCTCTTTGGAAGAACCCTGCTCCTCTCCCACCCTCCCCCATCTCAGAAGCAAAACCCAGACCCTATGGTTACCCTCCCCCTGCCCCTGCCCACCTGCCTCCCGTGGGCAGTGGGGCAGAACCTGTTAACACCTGAGATCGAATACCCGAGTGGGGGACGGCTGGGCCGCACCCCATTTCCCTGAACATCTCCAATGGCTTTCCACGGGGTGAGGAGCCCCAGGCGGGTGGGCCCTCGGTCACCCCTGGATCCTCTATGGCTCTTTGCTCACTTCTTCCCAAACTAGAGAGGGGCCTGGGGCTGATTCCAAGCACTGGGCAGGGGGTACCTTTCCTGACCCCCTCCACACACATATCCCCCCCCCCAAAAGCAGGGAAGTGGCAAAGGGGAGAGAGGAGCACCTGCCAGCCACCCACCTGGGGTCCCAGGTTAGCAGATGGGAAGAATTATAGGTCGTGGCTATTTACAAACACGGGCCCCAGCCACCCACGGGGGGGCATATCCAAAAGGTCCAGCTGAGCCCAGTCTAGTCTCAGGCCCCCTCCTTGCTTTCTGGAGAGGATCAGAGGCCTCGGGGCCCGTGGGGGACGCTGGAAGGGTGCCTGGACAACAGGCATGTTGCTGGTGCTCTGGGTGGGGGTGAGATCCGGGTGGGCTGGATGGGCCCTACAGGCCGGCGGGGGCTGGGCTGGGCGCTGGGCTGGGCGCTGGGCTGCCAGCCAGGCTGCAGGGCAGGGAGTCGCTGGGTGAGGTACTGCGGGCGCCTGGGCGTCGGAGCAGTTCTGGGCGGAAGCCAGGGTGGCGACGTGCGTGCTTGGTAAGGTGGTCGCTGCGGGTGAAGCGTTTGGAGCAGAGCGGGCAGGGGAAGCGCTTCTCCCCTGTGTGCGTCCGGTGGTGGCGGGCCAGCTCGTCGGAGCGCGCAAACTTCTTGTCACAGCCCGGCCAGTCGCAGGCAAAGGGGCGCTCACCTGGATGGAGAAGGCAGAGGGTAGAGAGACAGTTGTCAGTGGGTTGAGGTTGGGGGGACAGAGAGAGGGGGACGTCCCATCAGCTCCCAAAGCATCCCGGTCATTTGTCTCGTCCCCACCCCCTAGTTCTAGAGGCTGAATTCTGGGTGTGAATTTAAACCGTGTAAATGCAAAACATAAAGGACCCCCCACTCAGCTCACAAACCCCTAATGAGTATCCTCATCCTTGATTTCCTGGGAACTCGTAGTCATTACAGGGCTATGCGCACGCTCCATCGGTTAAAAGCAAAACCCACAGAGACGGGCTTCTGCCAGCCTCCCGCACCACCCACCAGCACCACTGCGGTGGCGCGGGTCTCCTTGTGTGTTTGCCACACAAGCGCGGGCTCAGACGCATGCTGGGTTTCTGGAGGGGCTTCTCTTCATGCAAACTGGTCTCACCATCCCCACCCTCACACTCCCCCTCTCCACTCCCCCTCTAGGGGATTCAAGGTGTTAGTGACCACAGTTAAATTCCCTCCGTTTGGAAATGACCACCCAGGGTGCAAAGTGGGTAACATCATCTGGGCAGTTTCCAGTGCCCAACCCCCTGGCTGGCCTTCGTGGCCCCTGTGTGTGTGGACGGACGTGTGACGGGCCGTCCCAGGTCACCGGCATCCCTGCATCTTCAGGTACAGCGGCCCCACTGGCAGCCCCATGGCAGCGCCTCCAGGAAGGGGCGGGTGGCAGGGGCATGGGCGGGTCCTCACCCTGCAACTTCCTCTGAAGACCACACCCACTGCCCAAGCAGACTTCACCCATCCTGCCAGGGTCTCCGCTGCCCCACAACCATGCTGCACCCCACCCCAGAGTCTCAAGGTCTCAACTGCCAACTTCTCCACAGCTGAAGGGGGGGGGGGCGCGCCCAAGGGCCAGCCTGGACGTCCACCATACCCAAGGCCAAAGGGCCGGGCATCTGGGACCCTGAGGTCCCCCTGGGCATTGCTCCGCCTGATCCCCAGAAGTGTGTGTGGACATGTGTACATAGAATGTGGATATGTGGGGGGGGGGGCCAGGGGGGAGGGACACAGCCTGGTCAGGGTGTTACCCCCTGACTTATACACTAAAAGGCTTGCTCTGGAACACTTCGGGGACTAGGGCTGACCCTTTTTCTGGGAACACGTCCACCCGTGGGGGGGCAGGCGAGGGGGAGACAGACAGAAGAGGGTCCTTGCCAGGGGTCAGATAAGACTCCCATAGCAGGACCCCATGGTGAGGGGTACAGACGGAGATGAGCAGGAGGGACCACAGGACAGACCTGCAACCCTGGGGAGGGCAGGGCTGGCATTCTCAGGGTGACCTGGTGACATTAAGCTTTCAAGGCCTGCCCTGGGGGAAAGGGCTGTGGCGGACACCAGTGGACTCCACAGGGACTCAGCCATCACCCTGGCCCAGGGAAAAGCTGTACTAAAGCCTTCCCTCCCAATCCCTTCCTCCAGGCCACACGTGGACACCCCCAGCATCACAGAAGAGGGGGTGAGAAGCCTATCAGGTCCCCCAGGAGGTTTCTTGTGGGGCACCTGTCAGTCTTGCTCACAGCTAGAGGAGGGCAGCCCCTAGGACAGTGATGGCGAACCTATGACACACGTGTCAGAGGTGACACGAGAACTCATTTTTTTGGGTTGATTTTTCTTTGTTAAATGGCATTTAAATATATAAAATAAATATCAAAAATCTGAGTCTTTGTTTTACTATGGTTGCAAAGATCAAAAAATTTCTATATGTGACACGGCACCAGAGTTAAGTTAGGGTTTTTCAAAATGCTGCCACGCCGAGCTCAAAAGGTTCGCCATCACTGCCCTAGGAGGATGTGGGCCCAGGTGTCTGGGAAAGGGCACTAGTGCCATCTTCCCCGGGGAGGTGCTGAGGGGAGAGCAACTGTCCCCCAGACCGCAGGCAGCTGAAAATCCCTGGGGCTGTCCCCTCCACAGCCCAGGCCTCCCCAAACAATCCACAGGCAGGGCCAGCAGCAGCTGGGGGAGGAGTCGCAGCAGGGACGTCCTCTACAGAATCGGGGGCTCGAGAGAGTCTGGAAAAGGATCCCAACCTCACCGCAGTGGTGGCGACCACTCGGAGGACGGATCTGGGGAAGGGGAATCAGTGCAGGGGTAGGGCTGCCGGCTGTGGACTAAACTGGATGCCCCTCTGAGGGACACGCAGGCGTGTGGCCATCTTGCAGGACACAGGCAGGAGAGCAGAGGGGAGGAGTCATCCCGTGGCCTCTGTAGCCCGCAGTAGGCTCACTTCCCCATTTGGGGCACGGGGGCTGGTCCCCACCTTCACCCCTCCGCCCAGCAGTTCCACCTTCAAAGAGCAGGTTGCAGGGGTGGCGACAGCGCCAGGTCGAACGCAGCTGAAGCCGCTCAGAGCACAGCTGCCGCACGCACGTGGGGACATCCACAGCCCCAGCCCTCGCTGCTCACGTGGTCCCCCTCCCACAGTGTTGGGCAAATGCCTGCAAAGATGCCAGGCCCTGCCACCCTCTCACAGTCCGGGAAAGGGGGGACATTTAGAGACTCAGGGCCAGTGAGGGCCCCAGATATGGCCAGCTGGCTGCCCCAGGCATCCTGGCTTGGACGGGTGCTAGGGAGCGTGCCATGCCATGGGTAAGGCCATGGTAGACTTAACCCTGTGACCGGCTGGGCCGCGGTGAACTAGGGACAGCCAGGAACCAACACGAAGGATCAAGTCACGCCTCAGAATGGTCTCTGCCCTACCCCACCCCACCCCCGCCCCCTTTCCTGGCTTTTAAATCTTTGTTCTCAGCATCTCCTGGGTGTGATACTGCTCCCCACCCCCATCCTGGTATGCCCAACGTATCTCTGGAAAGAGTCTACAGGCCCAGAAACTCAAGCTCAGACTTCCGGCTCGATTTGGGCCGCAGCTAAATGTTTTCCCATCATCTCGTTTACCCACCACCCCAGTTTGAAGCTATGACTACTCCCACTTATTTAAAATGATGGTCATAAAAAAATAAATAAATACAAATAAAATAATATAAAATGGTCATTTGCAGTCCCTCCCTTGTCCCTCTCCTCCCTCCTGGAGGACCCAGGCTGCCCCAGCTCGCTCCCTAACCAGAATGGCATCTTTGGCAATAAAGGGGGGCTCTTGGTGCCCGAGGTGAGGAGGCACAGCTCCCCCAGTCACCCTCCTCCAGTGTGTGTGTGTCAGAGACCTGATGTTCCGGAAGCATCAATGGGCGAAGACGATCCACCCAGCCCCCTCCCTCCCTGGGAGGCCAGCTCCTCACTCCCATATCATTTGCCCAATGCCTGGCCATCTGGGCCACCTTTATCAGGGAGCCTGGGTGGTGGGTGGTTATCACCCCCTGCAATGTTGGGGGGCCCTCCCCCACCCCCCAGCTGCGGCACAGGCACCTGAAGCCAGTTCTAGCTGCTCTCTGCAGCCCTGCCTATTGGAGGAGACTAGGCGGGGAGGGCAGTTCCTGGGCAACCATGCCCTGCTCAGGCCTAGCAATGTCCCCCTGCCTAACCCCAGATAAGCCACCAGTCTCCGGAGCCCCACCTGACCTGAAGAGAGCTCCAGCTCTGCCTGGGGGGCATGGCTACTACCTCCTCCAGGCCTCAGTTTCCCCATCTGCCTCTCCTCCTGGGGGCCTCTTCGGTAAACTATAATTATCACCACCACCCCGCCACCTTGGGCTGTTGGATCGAAAAAATGGGTGTCACCCTAGCCCCTGTCCCCCACATCCTGAGGCTTCCCCCTCCTACCCAATTCATAAATCAGCCCCCAACCCCCTATATAGTGGCCCGGCTCCTCAACCCCTAATCCCTTCTCCATAAACGGATTTTCCTCTGCAAAGCCCAGCTCCCCCCGCCCGTCCCCCACCCTGCCCTTCGGATTAAATGAAGCCCTTAGGCTGCTCTTCCCCCTCCATACCTCACACCACCACCTCCTCAAAATCCACACCTCGTGCCCCTTCCCCCACTCCTGCAATCCGGGTGCTGTCCCCGCTCCTGGGACACAGCCCTCCCTGCCCCACCTGATCCCAGGGCTTCAGGTTCCTACTGAGAAGCCTCTTCTTTCAAGGAAGCCTTTTCCTCCATCAACACCCCCACCCCCACCTCCACCCCCGTTCCAGGTCCCTGGGGACAGGACCGCGCCCCCCAGAACCTTGCTCAGAGTAGGTGCTCAGCTACCATTTCTCAGACTAAGGTAGACAGGGTTTTAGAGTCAAGCACAGGGGGTGTGAACCGCCCCCCACCCCACCCCCATGGGACAGGGGACAATGTCTGGGAACATCTACGACTGTCATAACCGGGGAGAGCTCCTGGCACCGGCGGGTGGAGGCTCAGGTGAACTAAGCCCCCTCGAGGCACACATGGCTGCCTGCCTGCTGGGCACTGGGGGCGCAGGCAGGGGAGCCCTCGGAGATGAGGGAGGCTGGGAGAGCATAGACAGCCAGCCTCTCCTCCCGCCCCCGCCCCATCTCCTTGCTCTCACTCTTGTATCCACAGCAACCGCAGTCAACATTTCCCGCAGCTTCCAAAGTCCTTGCCCGCCCCACGCAGAGAGCTCTGTGCTGGGCCAGGGGCTGCAGGCAGGGCACAGGGGACCACAGGACAGCCGTCTCCGCTCCCTGTGCAGTTGGGTAGCCCTGTGAAAAGATCCCAGCGCCCCTCCTGGCCCCTTCACCGCCCCCATGCACCAAATGAAACAGGGATGATGGGGGCACCACACTCACCCCAGTGCCCGTCTGCTCATCTGTACTGTAAGGCTAGATCAGGATTGGCATTGTCTTTACAGAGAGAACAGACCTCAGTCTAGCTGGGTAGGGGAAGGACTCTCCCCCCAGGGCCCTTGGGAGGATGGCCCAGCAGACAGCTAGCTCTAATTATTCCCTGTTCCTAGCCTCAGGACACCCAGGATGAGCATGGATTCCCCACCCCCCAAGCAAGCTTAACAGCTGCCCCGTCCACTGGGGGCCAGAAAAACCAAAAGGCCTTCACACAGACTCCAGCAGGGCCTGGTGGTCCTGGGAGTCAAGGAGACACTGAACGTGCAATCATTAAGCACACGAGTGTCCAAAATCCTTGAGAAACGGAACCAAGGGGTACCTGCCAAACGGGTCCAGGAGCTGAGCCCCACTAGGTCCTTGCACTGCTGTTACAAATACAGCTCCAAGACAGGGCATCCAAAGCACAGCTCCCACAGGACGCGGGACCCAGCACGGAGGGCACTCTGTCCTCCCCACCGTCTGCACTCACCCTTGCAACACCCCAACTCAGCCTCTTTGGCCTCAGCTTCTCATTAAAAACAGGGGTGGCAATACTGAAGCACTGGCCCCAGCAAGGAGTCCCTCCTCCCCCTGGACTCAGGGAGGTGGTCACCATTGCCTGGTGCCCTACAGAGGCTCTAAAGGGTCCAGAGACACCCTGGAGGAGTGTCCCTTGGGAGCCCGGCCACCCCCTTCCCTCCATCCAGAAAGTCTGACAGAATCCAGGGGGCAAAATCAAACTACGTCAGGGCACTGGGGGTCCCCAAAAGGTTCTCAGAGAACAAATACCTCAGGCCAGAGGTGGGACAGGTGAAGGGCACAGTGATAAGTGAGAGATGGGATCCCTCTGTCCCCTCTGTCACATCTCTCACATCAGCCGCCCCCACCGCACGCTGTCGAGCCACTCAACTCAGGTACCAACCCACTGCCCAGAGAGGCACTTCCCCATCTTCACGGACCCCCTAAATGCCCCTCCCACAAACATGAGGATACCACTGTCTTTAAAAGCAAATAATATCCAGCGACTACACAGAGAAAGATGGTCGCTCCTTTTAAGAGAATGTAGACCCCACCCAAGTCGTGTCCTGGCTGTGCTCACAGGTGGGCAGAGCCTCCACCCCCTGAGAACAAGGGGCAGGACCTGAAGGAGCAGTGGGAAGAGTGCGGAATGGGGAGGGGGGCTGCCAGCACGCACGTGGCGTTTGAGAGCTGGCCACTGGCCTGGGGCTGCCTGCTGTGCTGTCTGCCACACGGCTGGGAACCTGCTTTCCTGCACCCTGTCCACGTGCTGCAACAATGAGAACCTGTCCACTGAGCCGAGGCCCGCCACCCCTGATCCCCAGCCCAAACTCACAGCCTGGTGGGCATTCTCATGGTGGAGGGTGGGAAATCTATGGGGAGGGGAGGGGTTCACGGCAGGATAAGGGGAGAGGGTGACAAAATAAAAGGGTGGCCAGCGCCCCTGGCCTCCAGGCTCCCCTAGTTGCCCCACCACCCATGGGCTGAGAGGTGGGACAGTGTCCCAGGAACCTACTGCACAACCCTGTGCACCTTCCGGGTTCTGCAGCAAGTGGGGGCAACAACACGCTAGAAACACGATGAGGACCTGATTCCTCCAGGCAGTCCTCCTCTCCTATCTCTCTCCTCCCCAGACCAAGGTCCCAACCCTCACTCTCAGCCCCTCTCTCCGCCTAATTAAAACACCCGCCCCGCCCCCCCCCATCCTGGCCCCGTGCCAAGAGCGGCGCCTTCCTCCGAGAATCCACAACGCTGCCCCGCAGGCCGCGACGCGACTCCTCCTCCCTCTCTACAGCTAAGGAAACTGAGGCAGGGGCAGGGGAAGAACGAGAACGCAGAGCTGGGTGCTCCAGCCACAGTGCACACCGCCCAGACCCAAACGCCACAGAAAATAAACAGAAAGCAGCCCCTGGAAGAGGGGGCTGCCTG